AAATTAAACAAGGGTTCTTCTGTCAAGGTAATGACAAAGCCCCTGGCCTAGATGGGTACACCCTCTATTCTTTAAAAAAGCTTGGCCTATTATTGGAGAAGATACCTCTGCTGCCATAAATTATTTTTTCAGGGAATCGTCCTTATTTCCTGCTTTTAATGCTACCATAATAGCATTGATTCCCTAAATTCCTAATCCTAGTAAGGTCAAAGACTTTAGACCTATCTCTTGTTGCTCGGTGGTGCATAAAGCCATTTCTAAAATCCTGGTTAATAGAATGACCAGACTTCTCCCTGACCTTATTACTCTTAACCAATATGCATTTATCAAGGGCAAATCTATTGTTGATAACATTCTTCTAGCCCATGAATATTGAGAGGATATAACAGGAAGAATACTTCTCCTCGTTGCTCTTTGAAAATTGACCTCCTCAAAGATCGTTTCAACTTTGTGTTAGTCTTAAGTTTGGATTATTTCAAGTATGGTTCGTTTTGAGTTCATGAATCCATACGGGTTTGAGGCTCGGTTTTTCTATAGGGACAAAACTATGTGTATAATTTTTTGGGTCCAGTACGTTTTGGGTCTTTAACCTTATAACTAGGAAAATTCATGCCCCGGACCCTCATTCTTCAGTTTAAATAATTCTTAAGTCCCCGCTAATTTGAAATTAGGCAAATCAAGGCAACCTCCTTTCTTGGTTAAATACTTCTTAGGCCCTTATCAATTTCATAATTAAGCAAATTAGACCTTGATCCCATTTTTTTACTTTCTATATTTGGCATAATGCCAAAATGTCCATAACATTTTATCAAACATTCACTTTGGTCCCTATTACTTTTTTGGAGTACTTTGACACTAATGTTTCATTTTTGGACAAAAGACTCATATGTGGATGGAAACTGTTAGTCAACAAAAGGTCCATGCTCCAAAATAAGTGCGTTTTGCCCTAAAATGAAACATTGAAAGACAAAATGCTTTAAAAGAAAATAGAATTCAAAGTCATTATGTAGTCAGTTAGGGACTTTTTTTGGCATTATACCTTTATATTTGCCTTGTTAAGGTTTCATCTTGGGTCCATCCTTGTTTTTCTAGTCAGGACGTTACAATGTTGGACCATTTTGAGTTTTGATCCCTTCAAATTTGGATAATTTTGGAATGTTCTATTCAAGTCATTTTATGTTCAGTTTGTTTTATGTTCGGATTGTTTCAAGTTCGGATTGCTTCAAGTTCGAATCATGTCAATTATGAGTCGATTTAAAGTTCGGGTCAGTTTAAATTTGGTCTTAGATTGGCTGGATTCAAGTTACTGACTTTTATGATTAAATCATCGGTCGAGTTTCGATTTTCATTTACAAATTTAGGTTAGAGTTGATGGATATGGTTGAACCCTCGAACGAAATGTTGAACTAACTAAAGTCATGCAAGTATGATGCAATTTTCTGAAATTTCATCATTTTTCTTAATTGAACAGGCTTCAAGTTCATGGTTTATGGCGTTTTCATACATTTTTACAATGTCACAATTGAAACATTTGGAGGAAGTTGTATCGACGGGCGATCCAATTAGGACATGGTGGGATGAACAAAGGATTTGGACCATGAAAGCAATTATATCATATACCATCGGTACTATGAACGCTGTCTTGAAGTGTTTTGGTCTGAAAGAAGCTAATTTCGTCCCAACAAACAAAGTTGCCGATGATGAACAAATCATGTTCTATCAAAAAGGGTTGTTCAATTTCCAGGCATCCACCATTGTTCTTGTCCCATTGGTTACGTTAGTCACCTTGAACATTATTTGTTTCGTTGCCGGAGCTGTGAGAACGATTATCGACGGAAGTTTCGACGCAATGTTCGGACATGTTTTCATCTCGTTTTATGTCTTAACGATGCATTATCCTCTGATCGATGGGATGATTTTCAGGAAGGACCAAGGACGGATTCCAATTTCGGTTACCATATTGTCTCTGGCTATTTCTGTTTTGGTTTTGTGCTTTGGATCCTTGATTCTCATGTCTTATATGATTAAATCGCATGAAAGATACTTTAGTTCATTGAACACTTTTGTGGAATTAGTTTTTTTCATTGGAAAAATATTTTATCTCGAAAAGAATATTTTTAAAAGACGAAATCATAGATGTTTTAAGCTAGGTATTATCAAATATCCATAAAATTACTATTTTTAACTTTTTTTTTAAGTTTCTCTTTAAAAGGGACAATTTTACTTATGTACATTTAAATCAAATAAAAAATTAAAATTCAAAAATCGATTAAACACAAAGAAAATTATAATATCTCACCGTATTAAAAAATTAATACCCATTAAAAATCGAATACTGTCTTATTATTTTTATGGGTCCATTAAAGATAATGGGTGTAAAAATAAGTCATTGAAGAAGAAGACCAATGAGTATGAAACTTTGGACATGGAGATGGGTGTAGTTAGTGATTTCAAGGAAGATTCGGATTTGGAACTTCGACTGGGATGCTCTTGATTTGCTATAAATTTTTAATGAGTTAATTGTATCATTTTTATTTTGAATCCGTCTCTAAAATTTTGAAAATCATAGTTTAGAGATAAACTAAAATATTTAAAAATTTACTTAAAATGAGTATTATAATAAAACGTGAAAAATACCATTGACAACACACCTTACAAACGTGGTTACTCAAACTTATGATCTTAAGAAAGAATGGTATTCATTTTAATCACTTAAACCACCTTACGAGTTCTACGATAACATTATTAAAATTGATGTTGGTTGATAATATATCATAATTTAAAGTATTACCTCACTCATTCGAGGTATAATACCGATTATTGTTAAGGGGTAAATTGATCGTTCAATAATAATATTTCATAATTTTTTCTTAAAGAAAAACAAATCTTCCGTAGTAATGTGCAAGAACAGAATTTAAGAACTTATATCATGAAAAAAATATGAGTTTAGCTCCAAATTACATATGTTGATATGGGTTCGAAATTCTACGAGGAAACTTAATGCATAGTTACAGGAAATCAAGAGGGATCAATATATTGAACAATACTATTAATATTAATATTCATAATATTATCATTGTTTATATATTAATAATTTATGTTATAAACATTGAACATCGTCAAATCCTTTCTTGTCCGGAATTACTAATTCAAATATTTGGATCCCCAGCATATCACGAAATTTGTTAAAAACAACATTGAATAAGCAATATTAGCCACAAAGTGTGCTCTTTGTTTCTTTATTCCTACATTGTTTTGGTCCACAGAAGTTGTACCAGCTTGAGGGCTTTTTAGTATATTAATTTTTATTTATTTATTTATTTTTAATAAGAAAAAAAGTGGAATTTTTCTCACTTTTAGCCCCTGTTTTTTTTAAATATTTTACCTTCCAATATCTCATTTTTAAAAAATATTAAATATTTGAATAATAATTATTTTAATTCTTATTCTTTTATTTGAGTGTATTTTTATCAATAACATTTTATTTTAAGGTACAATACTTTATTTTAAAGCGTTAACAGTTTATTAACTAATGATTCCTATTTATAGAGAGACGTTTTTTACCTCAAGATAAAACACTTGAATCAAATACTTCAAAAAAATAAGAATTAAACGAACATTTTGATAAATATTAACGACTATTTTTGTTATTATGCCTATTTTATTTCCCTTTTTCAATGTTTTTTCTTCAAGTACACAATCCCTCTTCTTCACCCCCTTTGTTGTCGCCATCAATTTCTTCTACTGTTCGGTTAGCAATCATAACCAACACTTCTTCTCCTCTATTATTCTACTGGAATAGAAATGGAAGCTTCACGGCTGAAGAACTTTTAAAGTACCTTTTCAGAAATGAAATTACTAGATGAGACTGATTTTTAAAACATATATTTTTTATACTTTTATAGATAATTTTTTAAAAATAATAATGAATTAAAATTAAAATAATTGAAAAAAAATCAATAAAAAGATAAATTTAACGGGATATAAGAAATAATAAATTCATATTTCAAGTTTTCTTTCTTATGGCTGTGAAGTGTTTAGTTGCTTGAATCATTAAAATATCACAAAAAATAATAGAGACAGTTTGAAAAACTCATCTTTCCATTTTTGGAAGAAGAGAGAAAATTTCAGCAATCACAATTGGAAAGAGTGAAGAGACCAAGTTTCAACCATTGTAGCCATGAAGGGAAATTTGAGATATTATATTTAAATTTAATAATATATTTTAATATTTTAATTTTATTTTCAATTTATGTATTATAAGTTTTATACCTTTATAGATTGAAATCTATAAATTTCTTTTATCAGAGATCTTAATAATCTTTCATAGCAGTTACAGTGTGTTAACAAAATTTTAAGATAAGAAATAATATATTTAAAATAACTTATAAATGCAAAATCTAAAAATTTGACTTATCATATTTATTTGGTCTATTAGCTTACGTATAGTTATTATTATCTTACGCATAACACAATCAATTAGATTGATTAAACATGTATCTTTTTTTTTTCTTTTTCATTTTCTTTTGTCTTCTCCTCCTTTATTCACCCCCTACTCAAAGGTACCCGTTAATAAGTGCCATTTCACTTACTCTTACCTTTCTGACGAAAAATCAGTTACTATTGATAATTTTCAAATCAATCACAACTTTCCATCTGAATCAATAAATTTCTCACAATTGACTAACTAATCTTACTCCATAAAAAAATGTTAACTATAACGTATTTGTTAGATAATAGATTTTCTCTACAATAAATTAAACTTGAAATTATGATGAAATATTAGATACCATACGCAGTCCCCATATGAAGAAGACGTTTCAGTTCAAAATATAGTCCAAGTTCTCTTCATGTAAGGAGGAGGCCGGTCCCCTCTTTGTCGCTCTCTCCTTTTTCGATTTTTTCCCACATTCTTACAAATCCAAAGGCCAACACGTTACATATATGCATACAGTCGCTTTCCTTTTAAAACCAAAATCTTCTCTTCTCATTCATTTCTTCTAAAAATAATGCTTTAAGCTTTGGTTTTCGTGATTTGGGGTTCTTTCCTTTGTTGCTTTTGTTTGAAGTTTGAAAGAAAAACAGGGAATCGGATTGTTTGCTATATAAAGAAAAGCTTTAGCCTTTTGGAATTGTTTTTACTTCTTTGGTTCTTTGGACCTGTCCAAATTTATGACCTTGGGGTGATTCAGATTGGAATGTGAAATGCTTTAAGCTTTGGAGTGTCATCAAATTTATGTCTTCTTTGCTTTGCACTAATGCATTGGAAAACCGCATGCAATGTGCTGGGAACTCTAAAGATCTAAAGGTGCTTCCTTTGAATGGCTTCTTCTGGTTTAAGGTAAAGTTGTGGTATCTGTTCTTAAAATTCTGGGCTTTGTTTTGTTTCTTGTTTGGGCTTGATTCTGAGGCTGCGTTTCTGGGTTTTTATTAGGAAAAAATGGGTTGGTTTCAGTTTTTCATATTGTAATTAAGATGTTTAGTGTTAGATCTTTAATTCAATGCTATTATATATCATGTTTTGGTGTGCTTTTCTTGTTTTTCAACAGTATTGAATTGTCTTTTTCCATTACAGGTTTTGAGAGAATTGAAGATTGGAATTACAGGGTTGTAGCTCAAGTGAACTGTGTTTATTTGAATTAGATGATTTAAAGTATTCCAAAATAGCGTAAATCGAGTGAATGAGAGGGTAGCCAGTTCACTTGGATGCAATGTTGAAAGCATTAGCTCTAGGGCTGTTGATCTCTTGGCTGTTGGTTTCAGTATCATGTGCCGATAAGGGCCTTTCGAGGTGTAATTGTGACGATGAGGGGGGATTTTGGAGCATTGGGAGCATATTAGAGACGCAAAGAGCTAGTGATTTCTTGATTGCCGTTGCATACTTTTCTATCCCTATTGAGTTGCTTTACTTTGTTAGCTGCTCTAATGTGCCGTTCAAATGGGTGCTGTTTCAGTTCATCGCTTTCATCGTGCTATGTGGATTGACCCATTTGCTCCATGGATGGAGCTATGGCCCTCATTCGTTTCAACTGATGTTGGCTCTCACCGTGTTCAAGATTCTCACTGCGTTAGTCTCGTGTGCCACTGCTCTTTCGCTTCTCACACTCTTTCCGCTGCTCCTCAAAGTCAAGGTGAGAGAATTGTTGCTGAAGAAAAAGGCTTGGGACCTTGGTAAGGAAGTCGGTATTATAATGAAACAGAGGGAAACTGGTTTGCACGTCCGCATGCTTACTCAAGAGATTCGTAAATTGTTGGATAGGCATAACATTTTGTACACAACAATGGTAGAGTTGTCCAAGACATTAGGTTTGCAAAACTGTGCCGTTTGGATGCCCAACGAGATCAAGACGGAGATGAATCTGACTCATGGTCTCACAGGAAGGAATTTTTCGTATAATTTTACCATTCCCATCACTGATCCGGATGTTGCGTGGATTAAAAGAACTGAAGGAGTGCATATCCTCAAGCTAGACTCAGCGCTTGCTACTTTAACATATGGAGAGTTTGAGCCAGGACCGGTGGCTGCAATCCGGTTGCCAATGCTTCGTATATGCAATTTTAAAGGGGGAACTCCTGAGCAAGTTCAGACATATTATTCGATACTGGTATGTGTTCTTCCAAGTGAACAACAAAGGTCATGGAGCAACCAGGAATTGGAGATATTTAAGGTGGTTGCTGATCAGGTGGCTGTTGCAATTTCTCATGCCGCAGTTCTCGAAGAGTCCCAACTCATGAGGGAGAAACTTGCAGAGCAAAATCGAGCTTTACAGCTTTCGAGGGAGAATGCTATGAGGGCAAGCCAAGCTAGAAGTGCGTTTCAGAAGGCGATGAGTGATGGAATGAGGAGGCCTATGCACTCGATCTTAGGCTTGCTTTCGATGATGCGAGATGGAAATTTGAATAATGATCAAAGGAATATTGTCGATTCAATGATGAAGACCAGCAATGTACTGTCGACCTTGATAAACGATGCAATGGATATTTCAACAACAGATGGTGGAAGATCACCACTGGAGAAGAGGTCTTTTCGCTTGCATTCTATGATAAAAGAAGCAGCTTGCCTTGCCAAGTGCTTGAGTGTTTATCAGGGTTTCGGTTTCTCAATTGAGGTTGACAAGTCCTTGCCTGATATTGTTTTTGGTGATGAGCGAAGAATTTTTCAGGTGATACTGCATATGGTCGGGAGCGTATTGGATAGCAATACTGGAGGGGGAACTGTAATATTTTGGGTGTTTGCAGAGAATGGTAGTCAGGAATGGAATGATCAGAGACGAGCAGCCTGGAGGCACTACCCTTCTGATGCAGATATACTTATTAGGCTCGAAATAAAGATTTCCAAAAAAATCTCTCAATCTGAAGGCTGCTCCATGTGGGAGGTGCCAAGCAGTAAAAGCAGATACTACAGCCATGGAGCTGAGGAACGCTTGAACTCCGGTGTTTGCCAAAAGCTAGTGCAGGTAAGAATAGTAAGTTTTTATCTCATGAATAGCTGATGGTACACCATGGATCTGTTTTCAGCCGTTTGCTCATTGCATGTTTGTGCTTGTAATGCTTGTTTTTGTTATATTGCATGTTTTACTCGTATGAGTTCGAAGTTTATCGTTTCCTGACCGAATGATGCTATGCGCATATTAGAATGATCTTTCTGTTTCTTTCCAAAGTTTTTTTCCACTGCTACTTCTTCATAGTTCATTTCTTATTATATGAACAAAATTTGCAGCTGATGCATGGGAAAATCTGGGTAGTCGAAGATCCTTTAGGTTCTACTCAAAGCATGGCACTTGTTATCTGGTTTCAAATCCGACCACCTATCAGTACAATCACCAAGTCCGGAGAATCCTCAGACCAGCCACGCTCCAACTCTGTTTTCAGGGGATTGCATGTTTTACTTGCTGATGACGATACTGTGAATCGTGCTGTGACTGGAAAGCTTCTTGAGAAGTTGGGATGCATTGTTTCTGTTGCGTCATCCGGATTCGAGTGCTTGAGTGCTATTGGGTCAACCACATGCCCATTACAGATTATCATTTTGGAGCTTCAAATGCCCGAGTTGGATGGATTTGAAGTTGCAACGAAAATCCGTAAGTTCCATAGTCGGAGTTGGCCGTTGATCGTTGCCATGACAGCTAGTATGGATCAAGAAATTTGGGGAAAATGTTCACAAACCGAGATGAACGGAGTTATTCAAAAGCCAGTGCTATTACATGAGATTGCAGCGGAGCTTCGAAAAGTCCTAATTCAGGCTAACAGAGTCGGATGACAACAACATTGCCGGCTCCTTCAACACAACCACCGTGCTTCCTGCAATGTTGCACTCAACACAATACTCCTATAAACATAGATTACATGCACAGTGCAAAGCTAAAGTCGCTTCTGCAGTACAGCTAGTAGAGCAATCTCGATTCGAGGAGGAATCGAGAGCTAGCTCTCTAATATAGATGCAACTAGGAAAATTGTAAAGGCTGTTCTTTGCCTCTGAAAGTATAGTTGTATGAACAGATTGCGTTAAGCTTTAAATGATCGTTTATACATTGCATGTGCAATACATCGGTTTTCGACTACTGGAAACGGCGATCTACTGACCCAAAAATGTGAGAATGTGTTTAGTAAATTACATTTCCTGTTCTCTATTCAACTGGTTGAATGGTGGTTCGATAGTAACTTAAAATATGAAAGCGATGCTCTTGCACTATGAGACCGATCGATCTGATTCTGGCAATACTGTACATTATCCGACAAAAGATAATTTTTTTTTCATAAGTTATCTTAATTATATATATATATATATATTGAAAAGGTCATGGTTGCGTGGGAAAGATGGAAAAGGAATTCCTTTTGTTTGTAATTTTGGTATGCCAAATGCATGCACCACGCACTATAAGCACATGCATAAATCTTATATCCTTCGAATTTCATTTTCATTTCACTAAATTCAGGCCATGTGGATTCAATCTTATCCTAAAAGCTTCTGTGTTGGGAAAAATATGAAAATATTTGTAAAAATATAATAAAAATAATATATTTCCAAATAATTATAATATGATCATATTATAATAAGGTAAACTACATGTTTATTACTTCAACTAATATTGTTGTTGTGTTTTGGTACCAAACTTTATTTTTTTCTTTTTAAAATCATACTTAACGTTTAGTTTAAGTTTCATTTTGATATCCTTTAAAAACCTAACGGAATTGTTGTATGTGGCATATTTTATGGGTAAATTACATCATTCCTCACTTATCTATCTTCTCACTCTTGTTTTGGTCAATAAAGTTTAAATTTTTTTAATTTAATTACTCAACTTTTAAATTTTTATTGTTTTAATCACTCTAATTTATTTTATTAATATTTTTTGTGACATGAAATTTTTATTATTATTTTATTAATATATAATTAAAATAAAAAATGAATTTAAAATTATTCCCAAACCCAAAATTATACTACAACCCCCTCATATTAATAAAATAAGTTAGAGTAATTAAAATACGAGTAGTTTGAAAGTTAAATGATTAAACAAAAAAAATCAAATTTCAATGACCAAAATAGAAGTGAGTAGATACTTGAGTGATGAATGAAGTAAATTACCCATAAAATTTTAGCGGAGGAGTATTAAAATAAAACGTAAGCTAAACGTTAAGTATGATATAAAAAATATTTAAGTATTAAAACATAACAAAAGTAAAATGTATAATTTACCTATTATAATATAAAATTTAAATCAGGGTTTTCGTGTAATACAACAATTTGACATTGGATTTTCATTGGGTCTAGGAGTATGGGTTGGCGGCAGGACTAACTAATTTAGGGACTTCCAATTTTCAAACATGGCAAAAGGTTGATCTAATGTGGACTTAACTAATTAATAACATTATTAATTATTTAAATCATCTAGGGGACATTTATTTTTTTACTATAAAATAGGATATATATTAAATTAGTTTAAAAAATCTCTTGCATTACAATGTTTAATATACAATCAGGATATTCACACTCATAATTTATACTTTAAATTATACATTAAGGACTAGTGGATCAACTTATAATTTCCTTTACATTACTTAAATTAGATAGATACACAAATTACCGTTAATATTTAGAGCTTATTGTAGGTGAAACCCCACCATGGACAGATCAGCTTTAGGTGTCGTAAGTTATGAATATTTAAATAATAAAAAATTTAATAAATGATATCAATCGACTAATAAGAATTTGTAAACACATTCAACATCCAATATATTTACTCTTTTCACATCCTTCTTGTGCATTGTTGTGAGAAGCAAATTAGTTACTATCAATACATTTATGATTACTACATTCAGATTTAATTATTATAATATAAAAATAAACGGATTGATATTCATAGTATATCACAAATAAAAAAACTGATAATCCAAATCTACCCAAACCTTGAACTTGGACATTCAAGATCTCGAATTCGAGTATATACCTAAACATGCCTTATATATTAAATTTAATCATTCGATTAAAGTATAAATTAATCAATTTTATTGGCGGTCAGCTTTTTATTAACCCCAAAGACTTAAATCAGTGGATTCTCTTTCAAATAATTGCAAAGTCTCACAATCTAGAAGAAAAATTCAGCCTATGTGTGCAAAACAACAAGTTGTAGGGTCAATGTGACAACATTTGGGAAGACAATTGGAACAGAAATGGAGATTATATTTGTTTTACTTATCTTTTTTTTTTGTTGATAAAGGGACATAATTGATCAAAGTTGAGGGTCCATTTGATTTTTTTTGTGTTTTGAGTTTGGAGTGTTGCTTAAATTAAGTGTTTTTATATTAACTATGACATGTGAATTCATGTGAAGAGGGTCCTCTATGCTCTCTTTACTTCTTTATTCTCTCAATTTTTTAAATAGTATAAGATAATTAAAATGTAGTATTTGTTTAGAATGATTTTAATCTATAAATAAGTTATATACATCATGCAGATGTAATTGTCCGAATTCATAACCTCTAGAAAAAATAATGTTATATTTTATCACTAAGGTCATTTAATGAATTTTGTATTCTCTTTTATATCTTCTATGTTGATATATAAGTTGACATTTTATTTATTATTTTTTCAATATATCAATCATTATTGTTAGTGTGTAGTAATTATAGTCATTAATTAGGTTAGTTATATTTATTATTAGGGATAACCAAGGACGAACATAGTAATAATGTCAGGAGTACAAATTTAAAAATTATATTAAAATTTTTGAGGGAGCACAATTAAATAATTAATAGAAAATACAAATAAAAATTTAAAATAAAACATTTCATAATTTATTAATCAATTTAGAACAAAAATTATAATTTAAAATATTGTGTATAATTATATTATGTTTTTAAGTAAATAAATAAAAATTATTATTTAAAAATCAAAACACAATATTTATAAATTTATATATAAACTTATTTTTATTTTTATTTATTTATTTGTTTGTCTTCTCAATTTCCTTAAAAATTTAGAGTTATATATTTTAGAGGGTGCACAATTAAATAATTAATAGAAAATACAAAGAAAAATCTAAAATAAAACATTTCATAATTTATTAACCAATTTAGAACAAAAATTATAATTTAAAATATTGTGTATAATTATATTATGTTTTAAGTAAATAAATAAAAATTATTATTTAAAAATCAAAACACAATATTTATAAATTTATATATAAACTTATTTTTATTTTTATTTATTTATTTGGTTGTCTTCTCAATTTCCTAGGATTTTTTCCTGATTAATCCGGACCGAGCGTGTCGTATACCTAATTTTGGTGAGTGAGTATTCGAGCGAAAACTTTCTACATACACAAGATCTCGAACTCAATACCTACTTAAACGATATCAAACTGCTTATCATTTGAACCAACCTCGTTGATCTATTTATATTTAATTACCATCGTTCATTGAATTAATTTTTATAAATATTTTATTTTTACATATTTTAATAATTAATAATGTATTTATCCCAAGGAAAAGTTTTGATAATAAAAGATGTGAAAATCAAGTATTTTTAATGAAGCATATGATTTGGTTTGATATGAATAGGAGAATTAGGTGAACTGAGAAAATTGGGCAGTGCTCATTAAATCGTGTGATATTGCAATTGAGCAAAAGTCATTGCAAAATCAAATCAAAATGATTTCCTTCCATTACAATTTTTTAATAATTCAAATTATAGTGGATCAAGTTGCATGCATTTATCGAATTTGATGAAAGCAAACAAACAAATTAATTAAAGTAGTGGATGGGGTGAAGTGTAAATCAATGAAAACTTTTTGCCTTTTCTATTTGTTTTCTTTTCCTACAATATATTAATTTTATTTATTTTAATGGAATTAGAAAATTATCCGTTCTACCATTTTGTCTCATATTGATTAAATATATAATTACAGAAAATAAATGTTATCATAAATAAAATGATTGATAGATTTGATAGGTTTATTTCGATAAGTGTAAAACAATGGGAGGTATAAGAATAAAATACAAAATATAAATATTATTGTTTGTTAACTTTTTTAATATGACATTTTAAATTAAATAATTTTAAAATTTAAAAGGATCATATTTAACGGGACATAACACGTGTTTAGATTTTTTAAAAATTTAAGACTTTAATTATAATATTATACATAAACTTTTAATAATTAATTTAATACTAGGCCATTGACAAAAAGTGGTGATTTGTAATTGGGATTTGTGACATAATCATTGTTTCTATAAAAAAAAGGGACTTAAATAACTAAACTAAAAATAAATTATGTAATATTAAACATGACACAATCATATAATATAACGAGGGAACAAAAAATGTATAATAAAAATACAATAATAACACATAAATATAATTAAATCTATATAATATGAATTGTTATTATATGCTAATCAAGAATGCCTACAAAGATTACAAGAAAATAATGTTATTTATGCTTATTCTTTGATTTATTAATAAAAATATATCTCTCTCCTTAATTAGAATTTTTTTAATGTTTTTATTTTATTATTTATAAGGTGAATTATAAATTTCATCACTCAATTGTCTTCTCACTCTTATTTTGATCATTAAAGTTTAAAAATTTTCATTTTACTCGTTGACTTTTAATTTGCATTAATGGAATGGTGATAAGGCAATCATATCTACCGGTGTGAACTGCCTTTTATAGATATGGAATTTATGTGTCATTCATGTCATTTTTATTTTTTACTATTTTATTATTTTATCTTTTTCATCTAAATATAAAAACTTTACAATTTCATCATTGTGTCACATTAGCGTTGTAATTATCACTTTTTTGATATTTTATCTGATCATTTAAAATATCAACGAACTTATATAATTGTCTTATCACTCTATCAGTTTAAATTTTACTTAAATCACTTTAAAACTCATAAAACTCAACCTTAAACCCATAATTCATGAAACCCTAAAACACTTTGATAGATAATTTGAGTAATTAAAATTTAAAAGTTTATTGAATTTAAAAAAAATATTTCAGTAATTAAAATAGGAGTAAGAAAAAATTCGAGTGATAAAATTTATAATTTACCC